GGGGAGGCCGGCCTGGGCCCGCCAGGACCGTCCTCGACGGGAGCCCTGCCCAGCCTTCGTCCTTGTGCCACCCGGGACCCGGCCCTGCTCTGGGCCTGGATCCTCCTGGGGGATCTCGTGCTCCGGGCCCCGCTTCCCGGGAAGGGCGGTAACCCTGTTGGGAATGAACTTGGTATGAACAAGGGCTGTTTGCAATATGCACCCGATGAAGCCCAGGGTAGACGCTTAGAGGGTTGACGCTTAGTGAGGCTGCCTTGTCTCACTGTGGAAGGGACAGGGATATTCCGGGGAGGGCCCGGGGAAGGGCAGGAGTAGTAGTTCCCATACCTCTTGGTCTTCCTTTCTGCCCCCTTCTCACGCGCCTTCCCACCCACAGGGATACCCACCGCCCACCCCAGGGTCTACAACATCCACAGTCGGGCTGTCACTCGGTACCCTGCCAATTCCATCGTCGTCGTCGGAGGCTGCCCAGTCTGCAGGTGAGTCTGCAGCCTGGGCCCATCTATTTGCTAAGTGCACACATACTCTGGGCCTTACAGAGGCAGCATCTTTTGGGGGTGCGGGTCAGGTTTTACTTGGGTCATCAGGCTTGGAGAGGCCGACTGTAGTTTGGGAGCTAGTGAATTTTGCCTTATGACGAGGTCCCTTTCCCTGGGAACTTTCAGAGTGCACTTTGGGGCATTTGACCCAATGAGGAAGATACAGAAATATTACAGTAGAACTGAGTCTCCTCCCACCCCACCTCCTATCCCCAAGCTCTGGGACCTGCACAGAATCAAGTTTATTTTCCTTCTGTTTCTACACGTGCTTGGTTCTTTAAAGGGATGGAGGGTTTTGTGAGGAAGGGGCATTTTGAAGGAGAAGTGACTTGAGTGGGTTGACCAGTGTATTTACGGAGCCTGGGGTCTGAGAGCCGAAGGAGCGACAGATGTAAGGGCTACTGCATCCAGAGTGGGACTTAAAAACTGCTGGCCATTAGCTGCACAGTTCCGAAACGCTGTGGTTCTTTGTTCAGGGCATGAGTGATTTGTTCATGTTCTCACACTGGAGCAGGCAGAAACTTTCTGACGACTTTTCATAGGGATGGAGGTGCAGCTGTTTTATAATACATAGGTCTGGATGATTTCAAATTCAGGTAAGACTTAGTCCCTTCCCCTGGCAGATAGGGTATTTAGATGCTTTAGGAAGTCAGGGCAGAGTTGTCAGGGATGGGGTGTTCTACCTGTGTCTGGGAGAAGGAAGTTAGGCTTCTGAGATGGAATTAAGAAGCCCTGGTTTATACTTAGAAATTCATTTGAAAAATGGATCTGGGGAACCAGCAGTTAGCGTAATGGCTGTCGCTGGACTCCCATGTAGTCGACCGCGGTTCCTGTCCCGGACCCGGTGGCTTAAAACTCACGCCGGGCGCATGTGCGTGCATGCCCAAGATCCCGAGAGGAGAATGGAGGAGAAGGGATTGCGGCGTGACCATCCCCCCTGGGGGATGATTTCTCGCTTTCTGTCTCTATGTCTCTCTCTGTCTGTCTGGCGAGTGCACGCGCCCTACAGTGAAAATCTCTCAAAAAAAAAAAAAAGGATCTGTAAGGCCCAGAGTGGAGTTACAGAGAAGTTAATGATTTCAGAGCCATGGGGACAGTGTACCAGGGAAGAGGGAGGGCATCCCAGAGGTGGGGGCTATAGGTCTGGGTGTGCCTGGTAAAGGGGGCTGCTTGCTGGGAGATGTCCTGGAGGTTGCAGTGCCCACCCAGGACACCATTACAAGCCCGGACTGTGTTGACTGTTCTGACACAGCTTGGGGTGTGGGGGTCATTGTTCAGCTGAGAATGTGAAGGGGGAGGGGAGAAGGTCAGAAAACTGGAGGTTCTATTTCTCTAGGAGCTGTCCCTGAGGGTGCCAGTGCTGTTTGGGTTTGAAGGCCTGTGAAGTGGGCTTGGTGGACAAAGGGCATGGACTGTGAGCTGGTCACATGTGGATGAGCAGGACAAGGGTCAAGACTTGGTGCCTTGTGGACAGAACCATTGGGTATGGTCTGGAAAGTTGTATGAAGAGGTGGGTGAAGGGAAAGGTTTTCTCTGTGCAGCTTTGAAGCTAGTCCTGGGTGCTCAGAGCTCTGCCATGTGCAAGACTCCTCTGTTTCACTTAGCCCAGCTGGAGGATTTTAAGGGCCCCCTTTTTTCGTGTGGGGAGAAGCACTTTGAGTGATCTCCCAAGTTTAAGGGGAGGCGGCAGGCCAGCTGACAGAGGGAGGATCAGGAAGGTGCCTGGGATGAGTGGGGGGGGGAGGGAGCAGCTGAGATTTCAACAACCATCCATCTATGTTTCCCCCTCTCCAAATGCAGTGCTCAGCCTGTTGGAGGAACTGGGTTCAAATCCTGGCTCTGCTGGGCAAGTGGGGTCTTTGTCCTTGTCTGGAAATTGCTGTTGGATGGGATGGTCTATGAAGCTCTTAGCCAGACCCCTGAGCTCAGGGGATGGGAGGCTGGCAGCAGAGATGCTAGGAGCTGTGGTCAAGTGTGGGGCATCCAGGCTCCTGTCCTGGCTGCTGTTGGGGTGTAGAGCATTTTACTTTCCCTGATGGTTCCTTTTCTCTGAGATGGGAGATGTGTCATTTTCCCTAGTTGGAACAAAGGCTGTAGTCTGCTTTTCTCCAGGTATTGGGTTTGGGGCTGCCCAGAGGCTGGGGGACTGGGGCAGGCAGGCCACCTTAATCTGGGAACTGGCTGCTTCTCCTCTATTTGGATCATTGACCTCTCTGCTAGGCAGCGGCAGTAGGCAGTAAGGTGGCTGGGTCCTTTGGAGACAAGTGTGAGTGGCCGTTGTAAGTTGGGACCAACACACTCATATTCTGGGAGCCCCTCGTGTCTGGGTTGGAAGGAGTGGAATGTCAGGCAGGGTTCTCCCAGCCTTCGGGTACTACACACGTGGTGTTCCTGCTCTCTGCCAGCAGAACTGTGGCTGCTGGAGAGTGGCCCTGGCTCTCTAGGACTTTTTTTTTTGCCTTTGAGACAGTGGCAGTGACTTCAGGTGTGGAACTGGGTAAGGTTTGCCCCCCAGGAAGTGGGCTGGGAGATGGACAGGGGAATAGATCACTGAATTAAGAGCGGGAGGCCAGTCTTCAGAGTGCTGCTACTGCTGCTGGTTTGGGGAGTGGGCGTGTGGTCCCTGGGCCTGTCCTCTGGGGAGGGAGAATGGAGGTGTTTCCTTGGAAACAGTGAAGTCTGGCCACTGTCTGGTATTTTAGGATTGGAAGACTGGATGCTTCTCAAGGGATTACACTTCTGCTCTTCTTCAGTCTAGCCTGTCAGGCTTGTCCCCTTCTTTTCCTGGTAGGTTGGCAGGAATTTGCCCCAGTCACACGTCTGTGATTTCCTCTGAGCAGGACTTGGCATAGAGGCCTGTGTCGCTTGTCACTTTGCCATCCCGTCTGAGCCTGCTTTTAAGCAGTCTGATTCCATCTTCTCTTTTTAGCTGTTCGTAGGAAAGCATTTCTTTTTTATTTTTATTTTTATGTTTTAAGAGGTTTTTGCTATAGGGCACATGAGCTTGCCAGAAAGACAGAGACAGAGTGAGAAATCACCCCCTGGGGGTGTGTGGCCACACTTCAATCCCTTCTCCTTGGGCATGTATGCACACGCGCCTGGTATGAGTTTAAGCCACCGGGTCTGGGACTCAAACCGTGGTCAACTACATGGGAGTCCAGCGAAATAGCCATTATGCCAACAGCTGGTCCCAGGAAAGCATTTCTTTTAGCCCCAACAGATGAGGGAGGCTTGTGCTTTGCCCTTCCCAGCCCTCCTCATGTCACCCCTGTCCTGCCTGTGGTCTATGTGGACTGAGTATGGCCTTGGCCAGGATAGAATGCCCATGCAGATTCTAGGCCTCTCAGGGTCATCCTCTGCCCAGTGAGGCCCATCATGCCTCCCCTGGGGGCATGGGCTATTCTGAGATTCAGGAGGAGGTGGAGGTTGTGGGTCTCTGCACCCTGGCTTATGCCCACTAAGTGTAGAATGACTTGGTTGGCTTGTCTTGTGCTGGAGAGGAGCTTGCACTCTGCGAGAGAGGTGGATGGGGCTGTTGGGAAGAAGCCTGGCTTCATAAAGCAGTGACTGCAGGGCCCTGCCTGCACCAGGCACCCCACAAATAGTAGCTGGGTCATCATTAGGTATTTTATTTTGGTGTTGACCAGATAGGTAGAAGGAAATCTAGGAATGAGAGCGAGATCTTGGAAGGCAAGAGAAAGAGTTGAGTAGCTGGCAAGGTGTGGTGCTGTCCAGAGGTACAGGATCTGGCACCTGGTAGTTGGTGTGGTGGTTGTTGGTGCCCTTTGGAGAGCTTTAGGGGACAGAGGCAGGCTGTTGAATGCTGGGGTGGGCACAGGGTGACAAGGTGGAGTTGTGACAGGGAGCCTGCTATAGAGCCTTGTGCTGCTGGACAATGATGGGTAGCTATTTCTCTGACTCTGAAGGGAGAGTCACCAACGTTGGTGAAGGTGGACAGATGATCCAGGACCCACACCTTGGGCTGCATGCTGGGCAGGGTTTGCAGCTGCAAGAACCAGAGCCTACCAGAGTTTCTTTCTTTCTTCTTTTTTTTTTAATAGGGTGCATGCGCTTGCCAGAAAGACAGAGAGAGAAAGCGAGAAATTACCCCTCAGGGGGGATGGCCACATCACAATCCCTTCTCCTTCATTCTCCTCTCGGGATCTTGGGCATGCCCTCACACGCGCCTGGTGTGAATGTAAGCCGCCGGGTCTGGGACTCGAACTGCAGTTGACTACATAGGAGTTCAGTGACATAGCCATTATGCTAACTGCTGGTCCCAGGCTTCCAGAGTTTCTGACCTCAGACTCAGCCCCCTGGCTGCAGGCAGATTGGCACCTGCAGGGCAGGGTGTGGTGGGACAAGAAGCTGCCCTGGGAAGGTTTGCTTTCTTCTGCTTGGGGAGGCCTGCAGCTATATCTGGCAATTGGGCTTGTTGGTAGCTGCCCCGGAGTGGGTCATTATGTTAGAGGTGAACTCTTTCTAAACAAGGCAGCTTCACCTGTCCCCAGGGGGAGCCTTTTTGGAGTAGAGACCTTAAGATAGCCAGAGACTGGTTGGCGCTGCTTTGGAGCCATCTCATCTCTACTTCAGGCCCGCAGCTTTTGTAGGAATCTGTGGTCTCTTTTCTGAGGAAGCTTGTCCCTCTAGGTAGGACTGGATCATGTCTTGAGGCCCTGGAGGCTACCCTGGGCTTGGAGAAATGAGTAATTGGGGATGAGCCAGGAAGGCTGTTAGATGTTTGAGGAGGGTCTCCTGGAAAGAGGGCTGGGGCCTGGCCATGATTAGGCAGCCCATCTGGATTCACATCCCAGCTGTGTGGCCTTGGAGGAAGCTCTGGGCCTCAGCCTTCTGTAAAAGTGGGGCAGTTATGGTACCTGTGGTGTGGGATTGCTGTGTGGACATGGAGAGTAAGGACAATTCTTCCTTGGTGAACAACT